TAGAAACTTATTTGAATATTATGTCAATAAATTAAAACTTTTCACTATTGTTGTCAGAAAAAGAATCCAAATTTGACTTAGTTATTTTTCAGACTTAGTTTAAGTGTTACAATTAAACTTCTTTTAGAAGGATAAGACTAAGATTCAAGATTAAAATCCTTCCATTGCTGCCTACATAAGCATGATCATCATCATAGCTCCATTTGTTAAAGAGCTTGACTTCATTGAAGGGTTGGCAGATTGGTCGGGGGCTTAATTTTATAATCTAAAATAAATAAATTTTTTTATTAAAAAAATTCCAACTTTACTTTTGAGTAAAAAATTGTACATTAACTGCTGAAGCAAATGAAATAAAATTAAAAATGTAAGAAAAATAAATACTACTTAACAAGCTAGGTTGTTAATGGGCCCATAAGAGGCGTAAGAATCCACATGGTTGAGCTTTGCGGTCTCTATCCAGCCCAAAAGCAGGCGTTTCCTACTCGCAGAAGAGTGAAATTATTTCAGTTTTCATATTTGTGCTGTGAAAAGATATTCCCTTGCCCAAATTAGCTCGTATTAATGGCGCTCTTTCTTTTAACAAATTATGTAATTAATCTCTATATTCTAGTAAAATGGTAAATTTAATTCTTATATAATGATTTGTAAAAATTGAATTTTTTTATTTTTTAAAATTAATAATATCAATTTAATTATTAATGGTGTTAATTTTTTTTTATTTATACTGACTTAATATTTTATTATCAATGTGATATTGAATATAATGATTTGTTAATAATGATGTGGCCATTCTAATATAGTTCTCAGCACTTTTTCATTACTTTAAATTATATGGAGTACAAAAATTCAATTTTCTTTGACTTATAATACTTTTTCCCTAAATCGTAAAAACTTATTTATATTTTTTATTTATTTATTTTATCAATCTCATCTAAAACTATTAGCTTTCCATTAACAATAAAAAAGCTCCAAATAAATTTTATATTTAAGGCATGTTTGGGTAGTTTCGGCTTTCTTTCTATTTGGTAAATAAATTCCACATGATAACCTCACATCACTTGTAAAATCCATAACAATACTTGGTTATGCAATGTCAATACTGCTATTGTATCATTTGTGAAATATCACATTATTATTACCATGTTATTAGATTTAATATCATATCAACATAGTTAAATATCCCGTCAACGAAGAATACAAAAAAATTCTAATACTATTAATGATTGGAATGATATTGCCAATTTTAAAAAAGTATACGAATTCATTACTAATTATTATATAAGGATTAAAGCCATTACTTTGATAAATTACATGAATTAGTTATATAATTAAACTATTATTAGGCAAATTAACCATATTTATTTTCGTGTAAATTTTATCTGTTTACTCAAATAATGATTGATATTTAGGTTGACGAAATTAAATATATTTAATAGAGTAAAATAGTCCCATCTTCTAAGTTTTAATTAAAATTTCAAACAATCTATTAATTTTCGAAATGAACACTCTATCCCAAAAAAAAATATTTCGTTGGACATATTGGTTCAGGCATTAGTTAATTGTTAATATTTTTGTTAGTTTGATGATGTGGTAATATTGAAAATATAATTTTACTCTATATTAATTTAAAAAATTATTATTATATAATTTTTATTAATTTATACAAATGAGAGCACTAATTGGTGCTCCTTTGTCTTGGCTTTTTTTACAAAAAAATATAATAATAATTTTTTAAAGTAATAAAAAAATGACAATTTAATTTTTTCATTAACAGTGTTTACACTTCTGGGGTGAAGTGTCTATTTAAAAAACTAATGGATTTGCTTTGAATTTCAATTAAAACTTAAAGATGAGAGTATTTTACCCCGTTTAATAAGTTATGAAGAGTTTTTATATAATGTTATAATACTTTAAAAAAATATTTTAAAAGGATATTTTAAAAAACTTTTGAATTATTCAGGAAAATTTAATAAATCTTTATATTTTTTATTTTGAGTTAAATAGACCATTATGACTAATATTTGATTAATTGGCATTAATTAAAATACTATTTATTATTTTTATGCCAATGTGGTGCTACCTAGCATTTGATTTGATGGTGAAACTTTTACATAATTATATCATCGTGTCATATCAGTATATCACATTATCACCCACGATAATATATTGGCATACTACATGAGACATAAAATGATAAATATTATTTTGATTAACTATAGTTAGTCAATCATTACTTATAAGAGCTCACTTGACTAAAAAAGAGTTTGATTGAGTATAATAAAAGAAGAAGAATTTATTTAAATATTTTATAATAATTTAGAGATATTTTTAAATAAAGAAAATAAAAATAAACATACAAATTATGAGATTTTTTTTTAATATGGTTCCTTTGACTAATTGTTTTGTCTTATATGAAATAGTAGAACAGTAATCTTAAATGACACTTTATTTTATTAGGTAAAATACCGTTATCTCTTTAAGTTTTGATTGAACGACACGGAAGTGTATTTGTTTCTGAAATGGATACTCCTTCAAAAAAAAAAAATTTGTTGGACAAGTAGCTTCAGTCGTTAGTCAACTATTAATATTTCTGTCAACTTGCTGACCTGATAAGGATAAAAAAATAATTTTACCCTTGATAAATTGTTATAATTATAATTATATAATTTTATTATTTTTTTATTAATTAAAAAAAATCTCTTATTAGGGAGCACTACAGCTCCCCTTTCTTGAGGAGCAAGGGAGCATCGATCGATGCTCTTTGTGTATTATTTTTTAAACAATATAATCATAATTTTTAAATTAATTAAAAAGGACATTTTAGTTTTTTCATTATTTTTGTTAATGGTGTTTGTAATTTTGGAGTGAAATTGTAATTTGAAAAACTAATAGACCTCTATATAATTTCGATCAAAATTTAGAGAATAAAGATATTTTAGCCTATTTGATTTTAATTTTTGTCATTTCGACAAAAATGACAGTTCTTAATTACTTTTGTCTTTGTCTTCCTCTCTTTCTCCATTGCAATTAGGTAAAACTTTTTAATCGTTGGAAAGTCAAAACATTAAAATCAATAATCAGCACTTTCTGAAGCATTCAACTTAACTTAAAAACTAGTTCAGGTAAGTTCCTTCACTAGATATTGTAATGGGTATCCTATTGCCGGGTACTCGTGAAAACTCGATTCAATTATATAAGGTTTGCGTATCCTATAAGTGGGTTTGAGATGAGTTTAGGTACCATCTCTTAGTATCGGTTATTCGAATCCGATTACCATTTTTAAATATTTTATTATTATTTTAATAATTAAATTAAAAATATACAATTTTTACAAACTTTACAAGCAATTCTTTTTTTAAAAACTAACAAATATATGAAAGGTATGGTTACTTTGATTATTAATGAGATGGCATTAATATATTTAAATTAAAAAATTAACAGATTATTAATTATGCCTAAATAATATAAATATCATATCATATTATAAAGGAATGTAATTACTATTATATATATACTTTTAATATAAATATATTTATTTTTAATTTTGTGTTAACATTACAAAAAATATAACTTATAAAATTATTAATTAAAATATATTTACCATTGTTTATATAAACTTATAATATATATATTTAAAGAAAGCTTTTGAGATTAAAATAGTTTGGAAGCTAATTATTCTTTTAATTTCATGAAATTAAAGACAAATCAATATAGTTAATTAAATTAATTCATGAAAGTATGATTATTAATTAACTTGTAATGTCTTTTAATATATATAGTTTATATATTGTGTTAATTTATAAAAAATATAATTACTATTATATATACACTAAAATATTTTTAGTGTACATATATATATACTTTAAATATAAATATTTTTACTTTCTATTTTGTGTTCATATTACAAAAATTATAACTTATAAAAGTATTAATTATATTATATATAGTTGTTTTTATAAACTGATAATATATAAACTTAAAGAGAAGTTGTAAGATTAGATTAGTTTTGAAATCTAGTTATTTTTATTAAATTTCATGTAATTAAGGATAAACTCATAGAGTTAATTAAATTAATTTATGAAATTATAATTATTAATTAAATAGTAATATCTTGTAATATATATATTTTATGTATATTAGATTTATTTATAAGAAATATAATTACTATTATATATATTAAAATATTTTTATTATATATATGTACTTTAATATTACAAAAATTATAACCTATAATATTATTTATTACAATATATATACTTTTGTTTATATAAACTTATAATATATATATCTAAAGAGAAGTTACGAGATTAGAATAGTTTTGAAATTTAGTTTTTTTTTTAATTTCATATAATTAAGGATAAATTTATATAGTTAATTAAATTAATTAATGAAACTATGATTATTAATTGACTATTAGTCTCTTTTAATATGTATACTTTATTTATTCTGAGTTCATTTATATGAAGTATAATTACTATTTCATATATATTAAAATATTTTTAATATATATACACTTTAAATGTAAATATATTTCCTTTCTATTTTGTATTAATATTACAAAAATTATAACTTATAAAATTGTTACTTATATTTGAGATTTTTTTATTGATTATTTAAATATAAATTTTATTATTTGTATGTTTTATTAATTTAATTATTAGTAAATTATAAAATATGTAAAAAAAATATTATTGTATATGAATATAGGTATAGATTGGGGTTTTGGTAATTAGGCACTCATGAATAGCATTTTAATAATTTTTTTACTTAATCAGGTTTTTAAATGAGTTAGAATAATTATAGGGAAGTAAAAATATATTAGAGTAATAATTTTCAAAAATATTTAAATAAATAATAAAATTCGAATATTTTATTTTTTTATAACAGTGGGTAGAGATACCTCAAAATTAACGTGTACCATCCGTTGACAATCCTATCCTTCATGGTTTTTTCCACCTTTAAAAGCCCACTTTCAACGTCTCTCTCGCTCAAGCAATGCAATGGCACGTTCTTCATTGCCCCTCTACTACTTCTCTCCCAGGCGTGTCTCTTCACCTTCTTCAAAGTCCTTCTTCTTTGTTCCTGCAACTTTAGCTCTCATTACTACTATTTTCATTCTCTTTTATATCTTCACAACTTCAACTCTCTTCACTTCGCATCCTCACAGGCACACGCTTTACTTAAAACAGCCACTTGGATCATTTCCATCTTCCCCGTTGACTCAAAATGTTCCCTCATTTTCGCTTCATAATAATGGTTTTAAAAATGGGACCTTTGATCTGCCCAAAAGGGCTCCATTTAAGGCTGTTGGTGGGGGTGAAGATGCGACTATGAGTCAAGTGACTTCTAGACCTCATTTTGGGTCCGAGGGTATGTCAGTTTCGAGATGTTTAATTATGGGTATTTGTTAGTTGTTGGGTTTGTTTTGGTGTTCGTTGGTCCTCTGATCATGCACTTGAGCTTCAATATTTTTGAGCTTTGAGGTTACAAGTCTTGATTTGTGGATTTTGACTTTTGTTTCAGTTCTGCTTGCTGTTTGTAAAATGTTGCCTATTTATTGCTTTAAAAATTGGTATATTCCTGAACTTCTGAGGAAGCTATATGGCTTGCAGATTATGAATGTTGAAATTTGTTCAGGCTTTGATGTTTACAAGGTTTGAACTTTTCTGGTCATGGATGTATAAAGGATGTTGGAAAATTGTACAAAAAGAAAAGGTTAGTTAGAAAGGAGAAGGATTGAGAACCTCCTATTCGGAAAAATCAAAATTAGCAGTCTAATAAATGCCATTTTCTCTTTCCTTTTCTCAGTGAGAGATCAATATTTATAGTTATCAGCATCCTTATAGCTAGATTTCATCTGACAAAAAAATAAAATAAAATAAAATTGAGATCAATATGCATGTGTAGTTGGTGGATGGACTAGTTTATGGATGTTGTATGCTGAAAATGGTTGAGAAGCAAATGATTTAACCAGGTCAATTAATTTGACAAGTTTCTGTGTCCAGTTTGTTTTGTTATTTGTGAGATTCAGTGTCAGAGAAATTATAGTCTATATTTATAAAGCATAAACTTTAACATTCTACCGCAGGAACTGGAAACTATTGGTTTTTATGGTTCAGGAAACTTTGTGAATAATTTGGAGGTGTTCCATGATGGAGATATTTTTCTGGAGGACTATAAAGAAATGAATAGGAGCTTGAAGATATATGTTTATCCTGTCAAACGAAATGATCCCTTTGCACATGCACTCTTACCTGTGGATTTTGAACCTGGGGGTAATTACGCCAGTGAAAGTTACTTTAAGAAGGCTCTCATGGAAAGCCATTTCATAACCAAAGATCCAACCAAGGCAGATCTTTTTTTTCTTCCTTTCTCAATTTCAAGGTTGAGGCATGACCGTAGAATTGGTACAGGAGGTATCCAAGATTTTATCAGAGAGTACATCTTTAACATTAGTCAAAAGTACCCTTATTGGAATCGTTCTGGTGGAGCGGATCACTTTTATGTTGCTTGTCACTCCATTGGACGATCAGTGATGGCAAAGGCACGGGAAGTAAAACTTAATGCCATTCAAATTGTGTGTTCTTCTAGCTATTTCCTTTCTGGGTACATTGCCCACAAGGATGCATCTTTACCTCAAGTATGGCCAAGAACAGGAGACCCCCCTAACCTTGCTTCATCTAAAAGGTGAAAACACTCACCCCTTGATATGTTTAAACTTATAATGCACCACAATGGCTTACTACAAGTTTGATCTGCTTTCATTAAAAATGAAGTTTGATTCGTAATAAATATTCGTAATTTAGGTTCTTCTGAGTCAAGAAAAATAGATTCAGTTCTGTAGATTTTCTGTAATGATCAAAGTTCAGACACTAGTCATTTCTTGTTTTCTTATCCTTTTGAAGTAACTAACATGTCTAAACTCTTACATAAATTTACAATGCATATCAAACATGTCAAGTTGCAGAAGTTTTTTGTTATTGTTGTTAGAGGTACTTAAAACCATTTTTGCATCCAATTTGTACAATGAAATTGCAGGAACAAACTTGCATTCTTTGCTGGATCAATCAACTCCCCTGTTCGTGAGAAGCTTCTAAAATTTTGGAGAAATGACTCTGAGATTGCTGCTTATTATGGTCGGCTTAAAACACCTTATGCTGATGAGCTACTTGGCAGCAAGTTTTGTCTTCATGTAAAAGGCTTTGAAGTCAACACAGCTCGTATAGCAGATTCATTATATTATGGTTGCGTCCCAATAATCATTGCTAACTACTATGATCTCCCATTTGCTGATATTCTAAACTGGAAGAGCTTCTCAATTGCTGTTGTAACTGTTGATATCCCATTGCTTAAGCAAATCCTTCGAGGGATAACTTCTGATGAATATTTATTGTTACAGCGCAATGTCCTGAAGGTGCGGAAACATTTCCAGTGGCATGTTCCTCCCATAGATTTTGATGCCTTTTACATGGTGATGTATGAGTTGTGGCTCAGACGAAGTTCTGCTTGAATAAGTTTTTCTTTGGATCCCAAGTAATGACTGTATTTTTTCTTTATCATTGGTGACTAATTAGGTCCAACAGGATAGGTTATTTGCACAAGTTTTTATTGCTTGTTTTTCAATAAAACAGTATGCAAGTTGGGATTTGATCTATAATCATATTGTTCTGAAACAGAATTCCGAATGAAAGAAAATTAGAGAAATATTTGCAATTAGCAATTTATTTTTTTATATCAAATTTGTCAAAGGAGCTTTTAAGTCCACTGAGCTAAACACAAGTATTTAATGGGATTTGTAGATGTTGAATAACAGAAAATGATGAAGAAAACATGCTTGTGGGACACCCCTGAATTAAAACTAAGAATGAAAAAAAATACTTCATTATCATCATCTTTTACCCACCTTTTTAAACATGAAAGCCTGGTGGAAGTCTAAATCTATATTAGATCCCTCACCAAGTTTCTTTTTCTTCATAATATGGCCGAAGGTCTTTATAAACGGTTTATTGACTTTTCTTTTTGGAAACATGTGTTAAGACAAGTCTTCACTGCAGAATGTGAAACCTAATATGACAATCCCTTCTTTCTTTTTCCTGATCTTGACAACTTTAATGGATGGAGCTATTAGTTAATTTACTGAAGTATATATTCTTAATGATTGAATGCCAATCCCTATACTTTCAGGCTCCTGTTTTGCTCTCATGGCGAAGTCTTCTTCTCTTTGCTACCACATCTCTCAGCACCGTTTCTCAACATCTTTCGGGGGCTCTTTCTTTTTCTTACCTTTAAGTTTGGCAATTTCTACTTTTCTCGTTATTTTCTTATACATATGGTGTACAAACTCAAATCTTTTCACCGATCCACAAAACAATCATTACCAAGAATCTTCACCAAAGTCTTCTCTACTCCAGCAAATGATTCCATTTTCACTGGAAAAAGCTGCTGAAGATATGTTTTATTCATCTAGATCTGCTCCTCTGTCAAAAGGGAACCAATGGTCTATGGCAAACCCTTTTGGCTTATATGGTAAGTGAACTTACTATAGGAGTATGGTTTGTTAGGAGATTCAATGTTATTAAGTACCTCTGTCATGTTAACTTTGCAAAACTGATAAGTGGACAGCATTTTGACTGTTACTAATAAGGTTTCAAAGGCTCCTCAATCCCTTTGAACTTTATGCTAGAAGGCCTCTGGTTTTCTTTTGCTATAAGGCACTTGTAGAAAATTCATAGCAATCCAATTTGGCCTATGATATTAATGAACTTTTGATCAATATGTTTCAGCATTCATACTGTGGCCCTGATTTTAACATTAAACTCTTGTGACTTTGTTGCTCAGGAAACTATGTAAATAACACGGAGGTGTACCATGATGAAGATTTCTTTCTGGAAGATTACAAGGAAATGAATAGGAGCCTTAAAGTATTTGTTTATCCTCACAGCAGAGATGACCCCTTTGCCAGTGTGCTGTTGCCGGTGGATTATGATCCCAAGGGTCATTACGCCAGTGAACTTTACTTCAAGAAGGTTCTTTCGAAAAGCCACTTCCTCACAAAGAATCCGAGTGAGGCAGATCTCTTCTTTATGCCTTTCTCCATTGTAGAAATGCGGCATGACCCTAGGATTGGTCCAGGAGGAATGCAAGATTTTATCAAAGATTACATCTTCAATATCAGTCACAAGTACCCTTACTGGAATAGGACAGATGGGGCTGATCACTTTTACGTTGCTTGTCATTCCATTGGGCGTTTTGCCATGGATAAGGTATTTTCAGCCAGGTTCAATGTGATTCAAGTTGTTTGCTCTTCATCCTATTTTGTAGCTGGGTATATTCCTCACAAGGATGCTTCTATGCCACAAATTTGGCCCAGGCAAGGAGATCCTCCAAACTCTGCTTCATCAAAAAGGTGATATTACATTTATTTAACTTGCTTTTGTTTTTCTCATTCCTTTATGATCTTCCTCTTCGGTGGCTGCTTTCAAAGTCATCTTATCTTCCTTTGCCAAATGAAATTGCAGAGAGCAGCTCGCCTTTTTTGCTGGGACAATCAACTCCCCTGCACGTCTAGCTCTTATTCAAGCTTGGGGAAATGACACAGACATTTTTGCCCACTTTGGAAGGCTTAGAACACCTGATGCCGACCAGCTTCTTGGCAGCAAGTTCTGCCTCCATGTCAAAGGCTTCGAAGTAAACACAGCTCGTGTTGCAGATGCAATATATTATGGTTGTGTTCCGGTGATTCTGGCCAATCACTATGATCTTCCATTCGGAGACATAATAAATTGGAAGAGCTTCTCCGTTGTGGTTCACTACATGGATATCCCAGTATTGAAGAATATACTTCAAAGGATTAGCTTACAAGAGTATTCCTTACTACAAAGTAAAACATTGAAGGTGCGCAAACATTTCCAGTGGAATGATCCTCCGACTGATTATGATGCATTTTACACGACTATGTATGAGTTGTGGCTCCGCCGGAGTTCTGTGAGGGTCCGATTAAGTGCGTCTATGGAATTCATGTGAATAGATACAATGCTCTGTGTAATGGCATTAGGCATTCTGACGGATACTCCTTGGGCTGAGAAAAGTTGGTTTTGTATTTGGAGAAATAGTGTTATGTGCTAGTTACATGTGTTTTACTTGATGGTTCTTAGGTTTCTTTATTTTGTTTTTATGTTGGCCATGTTTTGGCAGTTAATGCAAGTGTAAAGGTAATCCACAAACTTAGTAATATGGTAATCTAAAGTAGTGCTATCTAATTTTTTTTTAACTTTATCTGTTTGTTTTTTAATATTATCTTTTATAAAGCTATAAAAGTCATTATCCTTATTAATGAAAGTGGGTTATTATCTTCTTCTTTTTATTTTAGCATTTGACAATTTCTTAAATATCTCAAAATTCTAACAATGATATTAGCGCTGTAACCTTAAAAGGATTGTGTTCATGTAAAATTATTTTAAAAAACCCTGTTAGCTTATCTTTTTTACTTTTTATTGTTTATCTTTGAAATATTAAGAAAATGACTTTTGCAAGTTTCAATGCTAATGCTATTGCTCCATCCGTTTTTACGGAAAAAAACTACCCAATATGAGCAATGAAAATGAAGAAATATCTTCCGTGCATTTGATCTTTGAGAGTTCTTTAAAATTGGTGCGATAAGGCAATTAAACCCAACAATTGTACAATTAAAGTAGCATAGCAAAGAAATTGCGAAAAGGTATAAAACTTTATCTTGTATTTATTATGTTACTTTTAATATTTTTGGCAAAAATTGTGAATTTGCCAAAAAAGCATGATACAAGTTGAAAGTTGAGTTTTATGGTAGTGATAGGACCCATCAAATATAAGTTCTAAATTTATTTAGAGAGTTCAAAGTAGAGAAGATAAAAGATGAGAAAAGTGTGAAAAACTACTGGAGAAAAGGTTTTAAAAGTAGTCAATCAGTTGAGATTACTTGGTAAAGATTTATCAAAAAGAAAAATAGTCAATAAATTTCTTATAAGCCTACTAGAGAAATTTGAAGAGTTTTGAGGCATGTTGAAAATACTTTACTGGCACAAGCATGGGAGAAGAAAACATGGTAAGCAAATAGGCCAGTACCCTTCCTGTTCTTACTGTAAGAAATGCAACTATTGTGAGCGTTTTTACTAGTACAAACCAAATGTTACATGCAGGTCTTGTAACCAGCTTGATAATGTGGAGAAAGTATGAAAGAACAAGTTGATCGAGGTGAAGAAAGAGCTACAGTGGCTGACAAACATGAGGCGAATGAGGAGGTGTTATTCATGGCCAAGACACTAGAGAGATCAAGAAGCTGTAGTGTTTGGCTTATTGATCATGCGTGTTCCAAAGAAATGACTAGAAACACAAATAATTTTTTTTTCCTTGAATAAGAATTATAGATCTCAAGCGGAGATTGGTAATGGTAAATATCTCAAAATTCTTAGACATGGAATAGTTGGAGTGCAAACTCCCTCAAGTATTAAATCTATTTTCAACGTTCATTATGTGCCTGAAGCTAATCAAACCCTGTTGAGTGTTGGTCAGGTTATTGAAGAAAATTATACTTTGATATTCAAAGAGAAAGTGTGCATAATCTTTGACTCTTATGGTGTTGAGCTATTGTCTGTTCAAATGAAAAACAAATGTTTTCCACTTGATTGGTTAAAGGTGGAACACAAGGCATATCATTGTGTAACCAGTGCTGCCAAGTTTTGGCACAAAAGACTCAGGCATGTCAATTCCAAGTGTATCAAATGGATGATCACTGATAGTCTCGTTGAAAATCTTCCATTAGACAAATGAAAAAAAAGATCAGGATGACCCGGAAGAAAAATTACCAAAGCCCTGTTTGGCTAGAGCACTGGAAACTCCTGAGGAACATTCCAATGGAACATCAAGACATAAGATTAATGGCATGAGTGTTCTTCAGCAACATGTTGCCTCTTTTGACCAAGACAACAACGAAATTATTTATCTTTGGGAGACTTACAAAGATAATATACACAAAGCTAAACATGTGAGTGATTCAGGAACATATGACACTCAAGGATAGGTTTAATTTACTGAGATCCAAACTGGGAGCATTGAAAGCTGACCCTAAAGAGGTGTGATAGAGTTAGGCCTTGCTTGCAATACTTGTTAACGTGAAAAGGCAATTTTCAATTTGGAGAAGTAGTACTTTGTGCTAATTACATGTCTTTTACTTACTGGTTATTTGGTTTCTTTGTTCTATTTTCATGTTGACCATGTTTTGGCAGTTAATGCAAACTAAGAGACAGCCCACAAATTTAATGGTGTGGCAATCTCAAGTAGTACTTTCTAATTACTTTTAATTTCAATATTAACTTTTGTAAGCTTATAAAAAGTCAACATCTTTGTTAATGAAAATGAGTGATTATCTTCTTCCTTTTCTTTTAGCACTCAACAATCTCTTAATGTTTCTCAAAATTCTAATACATTAATAAGAGTTTTCTTTCCTTGCCTTTTTTTTTTACCCTAAATCTGTACAGTGTTTTCCTTCCTTGGTTGAATGCGTCTTCCTTTAGTTTCTGCTATCCCCTTTATCAGTTGGTTGTATGTACATGCAGCCATTGTTTCATAAAAAATCCTTATGAAAATGAACTATGTAAACTCCGTTGGAGAACTGACCTTATAATTCAGTTGAAGAGAAACCTTGAAAACTTTGACTACTGCTCAGGGAACTC